ACACAGTTATAAATAAGATGGCTGTAGTTAAATATCCTACAGTTTTTAAATTCATTGGAATTGCCTGGACACCCAACAATTTACAATTAAAAGTAGGATCAGTTGTCATTATGCTGCATAAAATTATTTAACCTTGCCTGAGCAAAGGAATAGGACTAACTGTAAAAAGGAGTGGATGTCTTGATCCTGCATTTACTCATGATTTAAACGAACGTGCAATTTGATTTTTAACGTTTAGTGGAATTACTTAGAGTTTCTATCTTTTGAGTTAGGGTAATTATTCGTGTATTGGAAAACCGTCATCGTTGTGTATTTCTCTACCGCAATAAAGAAATGAAAATATTTTTTGTCCGAAAGCAGTAAATTGATTCAATTTTTTTTACATATAATATGTTTGATTGTTTTTTTTAGGGTTTTTTTCTGTTAATTTTTTAGACACAATATATAATTCTAAGGCGGTACAAAGTCCGCAGGGGCAGCTAACTATAAATATTTCTAGAGTTTTGTGAAAGATTTATGAATATTCCAGACTGAAAGAAATCATTTTTTTTTCAGATAAGTTAAATTTTACATCAAACGCATTGGGAAACTAGAAAAATTGAAGAAATTAGTTAAGGATAATCCTCATTGGACGCATATAGCACATACAAATTGGACAGTTAAAAAATATTTCAGTGTGATTTGAGACATAGTTCTTACTTTTTTTTTCATACTTATATTTACATATAGCAGATTTAAGCTGAATAAGAAAGTTTGGTTTGGGATAGGACAATACCTCTTTTTGCTGTATTTTTAAAAGATTATTTAAATGAAATTTTCCTTAATATGTTGATTGGAATAGAGGTATCATTAAATGGCCAGCTAGATAGTCAGATCAGTCGCCGTTGGATCTTTTGCAGATAAATGATAACGGTAAAAATAAGGAATATCTCATCTGAAATTCTAATAAATAAAGTTGGTTTTTTAGTCCGGTTGGGCTGTTGACAAAAATTACGCGGAAAAATTTTTCAGCAATAATTTAAAGTTAATTAAATAAAGAAATTAAATACTTACGTATTTATTTAACTAAGAAAATTATATTCCATAAAAAACTATGACATTGCATTTAATAGAAGAAACGAATGAGATGGTCAGATAACTTGAAGAAACATGCAGGCCCGAAGTGGATACAAACTGCCTACACTAGAGAGACGTGAAAGAAGGAAGGGGAGGCCTATGTCCAACATTGGACAGCAAGGGCTGTGTAGATAGATAGATAGAAAGAAGAAACAATTAACATACTAAATAATGTTGTTACATTCCAAAGCGTATTCGTTCTTGATTAAAATATTGGAGCCAGTAATCTTTATATTGCTCACGGTAATAAACATAGCAGAAATTAATTTGTTTAGTAAATAATATTTATTTTTTTTTTTTTTTGTAATATGGCTTTGGCAGAACCAATAATATTTATTTATAATAAATAAATCATAAATTTGTTTAAATAACTTAAATTTTACCCATTGACGCAGAGGGTAGAGACAGAAATTATGTGGAGAGAAAGAGTTATAACATGCTAGAACTCGTCAAGTTGATTTTGATACGTAGTTTACAGGTCTAGTTTACTTCTACTAAAACATTGCCGGTAATAGTAATAGTACTGGTACTGGTAATAGTACTACTCATCAAGTGGGCGTGCCCATTCTAGTAGGATTTTCATAAGGATTGTACTATAAGTAATTCCCAGGGACCGAGTACACAAGGTAGTATACTCAGTCCCTTATTATACCTGTTATTTACTGCTAAGCTACCTACAACTAGACTAACAACATTCACAAATTCACAGGTATTATCGCATGTCACACAGATCACCAAAGAGCTTCTCATAACTTAAAAGTTAACTTAAATAAAATATAAAAATGGTTAAAAAATAAAACTAAAAGTTAATGGAACAAAATAGAAAAATATTACATTTACCTTGCGAAGAGAGATTTGTCCACCAGTGTACATAAACAACATGCTGCCAAATTAAAATGAAGTTTCGCAGGTCACAATGCCTGACTGAAGGATAAAAGATGGAACTATGAAATACAACAGGAGACTATGGTTAGGAAAGAGAAGCAGAGAAAGACCACAAATGAGATGGGTCGCTGATATTAAGAAGATCGTAGGACACAACTGGAAGTAAGTGGCGCAAAATAGGAAACACTGGATTGATTTGGGGGGCCTATGTCCATAGGTAAGTTGGATTACTTAAGACTGAAGAAAAAGAAGAGTAAAAAAAGAAGTACTTAAACAACAAACAATTAGTAGAAGTAGTTACAGCCACATACCTGGGCATACATCTTAATAAAAGACTTACATGGAGGAAACATATCTTTACCAAAAGAAATCAGCTTGGACTCTAATAGGCAAATTAAACCAATGTACTGGATCATAAGTGGACACTCAAGACTGCCAATTGAAAATAAATTAGTCCTATACAAAGCCAAATTATTATAAAAAGCATTAAGAAGAAAAAACTGGAGTACTTTGGGCATGTAATGAGAGGTCCCAAATATAGACGCAAATGAAACTCAGAAGAGAGATTTTATGGTTGAAGAGCTTGCGAGATTGGTATAGTGTTAATACAATCATACTATTTAGGGTGGCAGCAGTGCCACTTAACACAGTCTACCTCCCGGTGCTGATACGGATGCCGCGCCCAGGCTCAAACATATTTTTGAACTTTATTTCAATTCAACATAACATATTTTGAATACAAGTTTATTAAAATAGGGAAAATAATTACAACTTTTTTGGGTCCATATCTGTAAGATTCTGATCGACCCAATTTTTTAGAATCATTTCTGAATAAATATGTCAATCCTGCCAAAGTGCTGGATCTTTAAAGTTAAATTTTAAAGGTACGCTTCGCGCGTACCACCTTGGAACCTTCAACCGCCCAGTGCTACAGCCCCTAAAAGACCCCTGGTTAAACCGGCACTGGCTGGCAGTGAATAGAATTAAGATAGGTATGATGGTAATCAACGTTCTGAAAGGTCATCGGACAAGAAGAAGAATAAAGCCATAATTAAACTCATACAGACCTATGGCCTACAGTTATGGGGCTTAGCCAGGAATGTAATTTGCAATTCATATGTTTTTAAAATACATTATTGAGAACCATAGTGATCAGTCTATGGTACGTCCCGAACGTGTTAATTAAGAAAGAGCTAAATGTTTTCAACAGCAAAGAAGAGATCAGCAAATACAGTAAAAAGTATGAATGAAGACTTAGTGTGCATACTTATGATTTTGCAAGTTAATTTTTAAACACGGAGAGGAAAGTTTGGAGACTAAAGCATTAATAATCAACTGTAAATTTTAGAAAAATTATAGATATAAAAAATGTTCATTTATTTTATAAGCTACTATCTATACATTGATTGATAATTTAGAAAGAAAAGTTTTCATGCGAATTCCTACCTACATCTTCTACTTTAAGAAAGACAACTTTCGCTGATTGTTCCTAACAAATTGTTAAATAAAATGTGCCAGTTAATAAAAATAATAGATCATTAAACCACGTTATGTATCTAAAAAGATCCTCAAGTTAGTTTGTAAATGATGAAAAATATTTGAAGTTTCTTAAATACCTAAAAAGTATTTGAATATCCTTACATTCGTTTGTAAGATCTTTGAAGTTTCTTGAAAATCCTTGAAGAGATTTAAAGATCTGTACAGGTATTGTGCTAGTGTATAAATTGGAACACTTTTAATAATTTCAAATATAAATTCGAATGCCCTATAACCGAAATTATCGATAGACGATGTGAAATGATTTAATGGTAGTTAATAAATAAGTACATTCGGCGTAACTTCAAACTGACTTAACGTTTTTTATTAAGGTAAATATTCTAGAGTTCAACCTTAATTTATAAACTCAGAAATAAAACTACGGTTTGTCAAAAATATAATTGATCTTGTACCTAGTAACTTTTACCTTTGTACCTAGACGCTTACACAAATATAATTTTGACTAGCAAATTTTTGTCACACTATTTCGCAATTGATCTAATTTTTATCAGAAAATAAATAACCTCGTCAATAAATTAATTATACTGGTAAAAAATTATGTAGGTAGGTAAACAGTATGTTAAGACTAATGTGGGTTAATCAAGGTTTTAATTTGTGATTGAGCATATAGGCTATTATATGTAAAAAACCAGAAACGAAATAGGAAATAGTCTTTAATATACATAATGAAATAATAATATTAATATCTTAATAGTAAAAATGTGTTTAAGGTATTAAATACGTAAGCCTGTTCCACGCTAAGCTACTCATTTGGTATTATAAAGTTTTCGAAAACGGATATAGAGGGTCGTCAGCGAAAAGTAAGAACACTTCTCACAAAAGCGCAAAAACACCATCCACGCAGTGCAGTAGTGAGAACAACATTACCGCGGTATTTGGTTCTGAATGGGTATGTCTTTAGAGAGCTGGTTGCGGTTTGATGCAAGGACATTGATATCCTTGTTTTTTAGCTCTTTTGCAATTCCGCAGATATCTTACTACAACAAATCTAATGTGTTGTTTATTGATGTTACATTAGACACATCAGATTTTAAATACATTTTACATGTAGTGACTTAGTGGGTATGTCCGATGTTTTTTAATATTATTTTAATTGTGACGTCTACTTGTTAGTTACGAATTTTTACATGCTTGGTAAGTCAAAATTATAACTTTTAAACCGTATTATGTCTGTCATAGAAAGTTTTTTTTAGTCAATATTATTTCTTGAAGAAGGCATGGATTTCCTGCCGAAACGTTGAAAAAATATATAAAAATGTTTTAGTATCAAATCAATTTTATTTATGAACCTCAGCCCAAGAAAATCAACTAAAAAAATATATATTAAGGTTCAAGAACTAAACTCAAACTATATATATATATATATATATATATATATATATATATATATATATATATATATATATATATACATTATATTTTTATTGAAATAAAACACAGTTCTAAATAAATATTTTATTTACAGTAGCAATTTTTACACTCTAGTTTTCTTTTTTAACATTGTTCTGATGTCCATTAGCAGCTAAATGTTTCGCAGGTTTCTTTTCATAAGCCTTCAAATAGAATTGGGCGAACATGTAAAAGAAGAAGATTGATTCCAAAAACAAGCTAAAACTGAGTAATCGGGGCACATGGCAACCCTTGATGAGTAAGTGGAACGAGTGAATACCACCTATTGTGAACTGAATCTAGAAAAGAACAAAATTAAAATTTATAAACATGCTTTTTGCTACCGGTTTTTATCGATATGAAAAGTAGTATAAAATTTAAATCCTGAGACCACTAATAGACATTTAACCTACTACTTCTTCGTTCCTTTTATGATTACTTTTTTACATAGTTATGGTTATTTTTAATGTTGTCATTAAAATATTTTGTTGATAAAATGAAAAAGAGAACACTAACAAAGTTTTGGTTTGGTTTTTTCGATAAGCTTACTAGCAGAATTGAAGTAAAGTCTATCCGCTGGATATTTGCAGAAGTATAGCATTATTCATAAATCATTTTTTATATTACGTATCTTTTCTACCCACAGAAACTAAAACGCACTACTCAAGCTGCCTGACCATACATAACATAATTCATGGAACAAAGTTCAACAAAGCAATACAACGAGGGCCGGTGATTGATTCACCTACTACCAATTGTAAATTTTGTTTTGAAAGTATTTGTAGATTATTTATAAACTATTCTCTTATTATTTAAATATACAATCTATTTTCGTACTTCTAAACTCACATTTAGTTATTAAAATCTGGCTAGAACCGCGTCACCATAGGGGTATGAAAAAATGTTTTAAACGATTTTTACCTAGTATACCTAGTAAAATATTTAACTCTCAAGCATAACAACTTGTGTTAAATAGATCGGAATATTTTGTATTGGAAAAAAGAAATGATTGGCCTTTAAAGGTATTTTCGCTAACCTGTATTGGAATCAATCAGCGGTGCTCCGAATAGACGGATAATATAGAGATCAGGTCAAAATCTTGAGGAAAGCAATACAGGGGTATATAATTTCACCACTGATATTCAATCTAAACTCAAAACACATTTTTGAAGAGGCCCTAAAAGATATTGATGAAGGCGTCTTAATAAATGGAATCAAGCTCAATAAACTGCGGTACGCAGATGATACTATAGTGTTTTCCAATATCATAGACGGGCTGCAAAACTTAATGAACAAAATATAGGAAACAAGTAAAACATATGGACTGGATATAAACATCAGCAAAACCAAGCTTACGATTATCAGCAAAAAAAATATAACTGGAGCAAATCTGTATGTGAACCAAATAAGAATTGAACGTGTCTTACAGTACAACTACTTGGGAACTACAATCAATGAGTCGTGGGATAATATAGAAGAGATTAAATGTCGAATCGGAAAGGCAAAAAGTGCATTCTTGACTATGAGCTCTGTGTTCAAAAGCCAGGACCTCACCCTAGAAACAAAAATAAGGCTCCTTAAATGTTACGTCTACTCAGTGCTTCTGTACGGAGTAGAAACGTAGATATTAAAGGCGGAATCTCTATCAAAACTTCAGACTTTTGAGCTATGGTTTTACAGAACGATCCTGGAGATATCATGGATAGACAAAGTCATCAATGAAGAAGTACTGCGGAGGATAAACACAACCGCAGATTTGGTCAACATCGTGAAGAGCCGTAAGCTGCAGTACTTGAGACAGAATGAGATATCAAGCAGATACGAGCTACTCCAATGCATTTTGGTAGAATTGCATGATAAAAGGTCTTCAGGACGAAGAAGAATATCCTGGCTTGCTAACCTAAGGGTATGGTACAGAAAGTCTTTAACACAGCCATTCCGTATAGCACCGTAAGAAGATATTGGTAGAAATGGACATTCTGATAGTGCTGTTATAAATATGTGGAAAGAGGCACTAAATCAATGTAACAATGTAACACAGAATTTAAGAAAATGTGTGTGCGACATACTTATGAAATTATTAAAAAGAGTATATCCGAGGCAAATATATGGTTGACATTAACATTCAACCAATCATAATTAATAGATGCTGGTGATATGATTGCTATTTCGTATAGCAACCAACAAAATCATCATAGCCAGAATGATCGCCAAAGTTCGGAACGGACAGGCACCCTAAGAAGAAGAAGTGGATATGAGTAGCTCAGATTCTGACAGTTTAGAAACCTTAAATATATGATTGTATACATTGTTTAAATAAATATTTCGAAAAAAAATTATTTTTTGCTTAGCTCAAAAGTTTATAAACTCATCTATTTGTTTATATGCAATACGAGCTACTCCTTTTAAGGAGTAGATCAGATTGCATACGAGCAATACACTTTTATATTTAATTACTTTTAATTAAGTTTAAAAATTTATTTAATGTAGATATTATTGGACAACCTATGTGTTTTCGTAGGTTCACACCTGAATGAAATAAAAAAGAAGTATAAAAACGCAGGTACCTTTAATCTTTTATTTAAATATGTTTTGAAAACCCATTCATAGTTATCCTACTGAGTACGTCATAAGCGATTTCTGAGAATTCTGCGTCTCTCGATTTCAATTTAAGTGTATAATAATAGTAAAATAATTACTATTCTCGTCGTAGATTTAATAACGTCAAATAATGATATCAACAAAGATACGATTCTGCAGCTAAGCGCTACCGCGAACAAGAAATATCTACATATTGCTGTTTTCGCAGCTTAAGCATATTGCGATTTGAAGTGGGCGTATCACTTACTTTTCTACACTGCTTACGTCAGACCCTACGTGACTTCCTAATGTGAAATCTGTAGTGAAGCGACAATGATGAGGAACACGTTTCACTATTAGATTTCAGTATTTTTTAGCAATTTTCTTCAAAGTTTGAATACGCTTTTCTCGATTATTACTGGACACAGAAAGGTGAAAAAAAAATCAACGATTACAGAAAAAAAAACTCTTTCAACTGATGGGCGTAAAAAGTTTGGTTATAATAGAACGTTAAACAGTATAATCCAATTTTTCAACAGAAAATTCAAAAAAATAAAAAAAGTAAAACCATCAGTTTAAAGGCAACATAATTTCGTATAACATGTCCAAATTTCGAGACATTTCGTCGGTAAATAACAGAGAAAAAATTTTGGTGCACCGATAAAACAGCCTTACTCTGCCTATCATATCAAATTAGACACAACCATTTATGTTTACCGATATTTGTCATTTTATTTATATATTATTATCTTTCCGTTTACTGTGAGCCGTGTCAGTTTCGCTAATCGCTACTACAACCCAATTGAACTATATATTATGAAGTCGAAAACTGAATACTCGTATATGCAGCAATTTCAACCGGCTAGTTTGTTTATAATTATGTGGTCAGTTACACGTGTGTACATAACCGTTGTAAATATTTCTTTCTTTTTAATTTACTTAATTTTTAATTGCTTTATTTTATTGTAAAGGTAAGTAGTATTAGTTTTATATATTTATTTATGATTTTATTATTCAGAGCTTAAATTTTTGTAATAAAATTAGATCATAGCAAATTTCTTACATCATGTCAAATTGCCGTAAAATTTTTGTTGTATTGCTGTAAATATTAGGTTATTTTTAACAATTTTTCTTACTTTTTAGATGTATCGATAAAATTGGAAAATACCGCTTACTCTGGAGGCGTTTGAAGATTTTCTAGCACATTTATCCGAGAGTGGGGATGATTTGGAATTCTTGGTATTCTTCTGAAGCTATTTTCTTGTAATATCTTTAAGAAAATTACTATTTTATTGTCTTAATTTTCACTTCGGAGAACGATTTCTAAAGCGGAAATTGAAACAAATTAGGAGATTGGAAATCCTTTACGAAAAACTGACATATTGTCAAAATTTAATCACATATTACGAAGAAATAGAGAAAATAACCTAATACCAAAGGGCTTGAAGTTACGTCCAGCATATTCAAGAAGAAGGTTGGAAAAAACTCTGCTTCTTCTTCTTATATGGCTCTAAAGAGTGCATGGGCATCGAGGTTTGTCCAATCCCTTGAGTTTTTAAGCCAAGAGTATTTCTTTCTTCCGATACTCCGTTTTCCTTATATCTTCGCTTCCATAATAAGCCGGAATTTCGAAATAGATGATCCTGATGAGCATAAAAAATCTGTACAGAAATAGTTTACCCATGATCCTTCATGCAACCTCAAGGTGGCAATTTCATAGATCCAATGTATTTTTTGTTGAACAATATACTGTATTGAATTATTGAAAATTTGCTTTTAAATGTGATATCAAATTCTGATTTTGATCTTTTAGTTTACATATAGTATATAAAAGTTAATATGAGAAACAAGCAATTATACATTTAAATAAATTTAATATCCTGTTAGAACAAAACAGTATACATACTTTAGATAACCTCAATAGAAATAATGACACATTAGAGACAGTTGTCAATATATTATTTTTCCGCAAATCGCCAGGAAATTTTGACATTCCTGTCAAAACTTCTTGAAGAAAAAGTCAGGACTTCCTTACTGCAAGGAAATGTCATTTCCTTACTGTAAGGAAATGATATTTCCGTACAGTTGTTAGTGTTCTACATAAATGATAGAAAACACATTGCTTATAAGGAATTAATTTATATTTTAAAAACATCAAGTCATTGCTGAATACATTTTTAAGATCAATTTGTTATATTTATATTCGAGAACACCAGCAATTAAATTTATAAGCGTCAAGTTTGACAATTCAACCTCAATACGTTTCCATAGTAACCCAAGTAATTTTATTAGGACTTTCAAAGCACCATTTATTTGGGAATAAAATTATCGCGTTTTTTAAATCAATCAATATCTGTCGAATTTTAAACGATTTGCGGAAAAATAGTATGTTTACCTCGTAGGAAAAGCCACATTCCTGGACTCTGTGTTGCTAAGTCTCGGCTTGCGCCTCGACTTAGCAATCTTCACAGTCGTCCAGGAATGTTAAGCTTTTCCTACCCGGTAATTAATGTACTATTTTTTTTTATTGAGTTAATGCCTCGACAACTATGATCATTGGCATGGTACAGTCAGGTACCTAGTGTAGTGTGTGTGTGTGTGTGTGTGTGTGTGTGTGTGTGTGTGTGTGTGTGTGTGTGTGTGTGTGTGTGTGTGTGTGTGTGTGTGTGTGTGTGTGTGTGTGTGTGTAGAGTAATTGACTTGATACTTAGCAAAGTCGACCCCATTGTCTTTGCTAAGAGACGCTAATTATATCCGAACGTCTGCGGTCCCTCTGGTGAGTACCGATCGCACAAGGATAGAAATTATTTTCATTCATTAATTTTTAATAAACGAAAATTTCCACCCAGGTGAGATTCGAACCCACGACCTTTAGGTTTAAAGGTAGGCGCTCTTACCACTGAGCCACAGAGGGATTTATATATTATTAAAATATCTCAATATTTACCAAAGAGAACGATTTTTGAAGTGGAAATTGAAACGTCAATAAACTTATTTTAAACTTCAATTGTAGCTTCCTATTAAAATTTTAATTAATTTGGAATTCCATTAGAAGAGCTATGATTGGCATTTGATGATGTTACTATAATTTTGAATTATGGTATAGCATAGAAGGAAAACCCTTGCATTATAAAAGGAATACTATTAAAAAAGCTGGGGATATATCCACAAGTGGCAGAGAATTTTAACAAAAAATCCAATTTGTTATGGCGTTAACAAAAACATAGTTGTAATTTAGTTGAATTTAAATTAAAAAAATTGTTTTTGTACCCTTAAAAAAACTATTTTAGTTAAAAATGTAATGTCCTTAAATAGATAATAAAATTCTCGTTTAAATGAGGTGTCGCATTATACCGATTGCTAAAAAACGAACGATTACGTCACTACACCTACTTCGGTGACGTCATCCCTACTCCATGTAATTTATAAGATGGGTATTTTATAACAAAAATCGACATGTCTCGGAATTTCCCTCAAAACTCGACGGTTCTCGAAATAATGATAATATTTCATAATTTAGCCGTTCCCCGTAGACAAAATTGTATACAAAAGATTTTAAAATAAATCTTGTTTCTGATAAATACTAATATTTCTAAAATACAATTTAAACACAAAACTACGTTACTCCTCAAATAATCAGCAGCTGAGTAGATCAAATAGCGTTTATGAATTTTTCTGCTTTATGTCAGGTAATATTTCCTTCGCCTTTTTCTTTCATGATAGTGGTATATTTTTAAGCGAAGCTTCTAAAATTGCGTTCTATTACATTTTTACATCGTAAAATGTGGAGGTGAGTGTCAGGGATGTAGCGTTAGGACACGACGTCACGGAAGTAGCGCCTCGAAAAACGTATTTCGTGGCACTCCTTCTACAGAAACATCTTGGTAGGGCATTGTAAACAGTTGACAGAGTCTATTTACGCAAAGTACCAGAATAAAAAAATCTATATATATATATATATATATATATATATATATATATATATATAGAATAATAAATATATAATAAAATTACTACAATTTTAAAAATATTATTTAAAATTTAAGAATACACAAAACATAGTATGAAGCTTCGCTCTAGTCTACAGCAACGCCTACTCTGCCACTTTTTTATACCTCTTCTTTAGCTTAAGATGTCTTAATTTTTAAATAATGTCATTCTGTAATATATAATGCTTTGCGTTTAATATATTTTTTACTATTATTGCTTACCAACTGTAATACTGTGATATGCTTCTTCCACCATAAATATTTCTGAATTTTTGGGCCGAATGCACTAAGCATATAGTAGGTATACATCACAATATGTATAAACGAGTTTATCATTCCATATAGAGTCATTTGACTTTCTGGAAAATATTTTACTGCACCCCAGCACCATAATGGCATGACGGCGTGGTGGTAGACGTGAAGAAAAGATACATTCTGATCTTTTTTTCGTAAAACGAAAAATACCTGAAAAAAAATATCTGAAAATACTGCCAACCATGCTTGTGGGATCTCATTATGGATAGGTATATTCAAATTATATAGAGTGCGGCATTAGTGCGAAGAGGACCTGTTACTCATTTGTCGTAAGAGATACGAAAAAAAATTAGTAGTAAAATTAGTAAGATATGGAGCATAAAAAGTACCTACCATGCTTTGAAAATATTTTCAAATATACAGAGCCATCCATATTGAGATAGTGGAACAAACTTGTCTTTTTTTATGGAACACCCTGTATATTTTTATATTTTTAAACTCGTATTGTTTGTTCTCGATATCGTTGTTACGATATAAGGTTTTTCTTTGTTATATTACGTAGTTTACTTTTACCCTGTAAAATTGTAGGTATTTGACATAAAAAAGTCTAGTTATAATCAAACAATTTTTAGAATAGTCTACTATTCTACTATCCAAAGTTATTAGCAAAGCCAAATATTTAATTTTCGTATCCAGGATTCGGTTTTAAAGAATAACTTTTGGTAAGTGTGGTAGTCTTCTTCCCTCTTGTTTACAAATTCTTCCCAACTTTCCCGTTTTGATACTAGTTAACATTTCTTTGACTTTGGTTTTCTGCTGTTTATATTTTTGGTGGTAGTCTGTGGTTTCTCTTCTTAGATAATAATTCCAAGCTATCTTCTCGGTCTTTACTTCTTCTTTTATTTTGTTGTTTCACCAGTTTGTACACTTCTTACTTTTGTTATTTTTTGTTATTCCGCAAACTTGTTTACCACAGTTTGGGAATACATATCCCTAGAAGATGGAGGATAAGAAGAAGAACTGGACGTAGACATACATCCTTGCTGGCCTATCTTAGGAAGAGTACTGGTCTAACGTCAACTGATTTATTTAGAGCTGCTGTGAATAGAATAAAATGGGTTAATATGGTCGCCAACATCTCTGGAAGATAGGCACATTTAGAAGAAAATAGTGGTCCTATTTATCTTAGCCCATCGTTTTACTCGTACGTCTGTATTACATTGCCTTGATGGTTCATCATAGACTATCCTGGATTTTTGCTAATGATATTAAAATATTTCCTCTCTATAGATCAATAAAACGATCCCCATTATCATTTTTAGTCTTCTCGATATGGTCCTAATACATCTAGGATATGTTTATCTCCTACACCCACTCGACCATTTAGATCCCCTATTACTATACTGATGCCTTCTGAACGCTCGTTTTTTCTTAGGCCTTATCGCATAGTAAATCTTTGCTAACTGCTTTTTCGTCATTATTTATTCCAAACATAAAGATAATTTATGTTCAGCAGTTACCAGTCCTATCCTTTCCGAAAAGCATTTTCAATATTTGATATTGTGTATACGGTTACTGTTTATTAGGCAGCCTAAACCTTCTTTTGCCCTTTCGCTTTGTGACACTTAACTGGTAATGAGCCAACTGCCCATTCTCTTAATACTGCGGGCTTTTTCCTTTCGTTTTGTTATATATTTTACACCTAATACATCTATTTGATATTCCTCAAATTTTGCAGCCAGTTCAACTTCTTTGATGTTAAGACCTCTGAAATTTTATGTTGCTAATGTTCATCCTTTGGGATTGCGAACTACTCTGTTATTGTAAGCCGTATCATTTAACTCTTTCTTTTTACATGTGGGTTTAACATATTTTCTATTTATGTTTTTTTGTCACTCGGTGCTCACAATCTTGCTTATTATTTATGTATTTATCTATGTCTTTGCTGCTTCTTCAAGGATTTACTGAATACTCAAAATGATGTAGATAGTAACCAAGAAGAACACGAAGAGGTAGAGTAAGAAGACCACAGTCCAGGCGAAATAGCTAAAGCAGAAATAAAAGAAATTGTACAAAAACTTAATAAAAGTAAGTTGGCCGGATTTGGTAAAATAACAACGAAATGATATAAAACATGGCCGACAAGGGCATTGCTAACAAAAGCTTGTAATAAGACATGGAGTGAGAGCAAAATACCTAAAGATTGGAAAGTGGGGGTTATTCTAACCATCTTCAAAAAGGGAGATAGGCCGGAATGTACTTACTACAGAGGTATAACACTACTGAATATCCCATCCAAAGTGTACGAGAGAATATTTGAAAAACGTCACAAATCACAAGTTGATTATAAAATGGAACAGTCACAGAGTGGATTCGGAAATGGCAAAAGCATTTGACAGTATTTTTACTATCAAGAAGTTAATACAAAACGGACGGAACTCAAGCACTGAGTTTTACCAAGCCTTTATTGACTTAGAAAAAGTATTAGAGTAAAATAAAGGTGATAGATATATGCTTAAAAAAAAGGTTAATATAGAAATACAAAACTTATGTAAGCCATTATGAGTGTATACAAACATACAAGTAACAAGTTTGGAATCGATTATACGGAATCAGAAAAGTTTATAATAAATGAGGGTTTACTTTAAGGGGGAGTCCTAGGCCCCATACTATTTAACATCATTTTGGATGACATAATTAAAAAAATCAGTACAGAAAAACACTAAAATTAAATGCCGGGCATGGAAATCTAGAAACGGTGTTGATCTTAAGATGGAAATACACCTTTCAATTCGGTTGAGCAATGTGGATGATTCAACCAAAATGATCATGTATTTTGCAATTCAATAAAAGCGTTCAACAAAATTGAACGTTGAAATGAGTTAAGATAATTTCTACTTTCGTTCAACTTCGTTGTACAACTGGGATGATTCATCCACATTGACTCATCTATACAAGTTTTGTCGATTGTGTTCGATTCAACCGTTTATTTCATCGAGTTATCTTTTCATTTTGACTTGTGATATAATAAGTTCCGTACGTATATTTCGAATCATCCACATTGTTCAACCGAATTGAATGAAGAATAAATTAAACCGTGTATAGTATGCTTTTCAATTTTATTTAACAATGTAATTGAATCATCCACATTGTTCAACCGAATTGAATGGTGTATTTCCGCCGTTAGAGTGTGATTACGCAGGCGATCTTGTGAAATTTTGAATACGCGAAGAAGCACTCAATCGAAATTTACAAGCATGGACCGCTGCACTAATGAAACGGAATTCACGAAGAGTTCACGATGAGAAAACGAAAGTAATGGTATGCGGAAAAATAGAAAACAAATGAAGATAAAAATTAACGGAAATACACTTGAACAGTTTAAAAACCTACAAATTCTTAGGAGTGCAAATAGAGAACAGAGGAACTAAAGAAACTGAAAGTTCGAGAATAGAAAGTGCTGCTTGGATATACCACGCAATCAAAAATACGCTGGTGTCTAAAAAAAAGTATTCCAAAAAGACAAAGTGGTTGTGTATAATCGTTGTGAGGCGAATATTTATAATCTTTACAGTATAATTGTCAGAGTCTTAGCTTATGTGCGTTTTTAAAAATTTGTACACACCAACAACCTTAACCAATATTATAAAATTAAAACCAGCCAAATATATTATGCAATTTTTTTTCGAAAGCAGTTAGTTGATATCAAATATCTACAATTCTACAGAGTATAAATATTGCTATGACACTAATAAAAAAACGTAATTATCTTTAATAAAATATTTAATTTAACCAGGAACAAACAAAAAGTCCAAAAATGTAAAAATATACAGGATTTTCCATTAAAAAAAGATAAGTTAGTTATGTCAATATGAATGGCTCTGTATATTTGAAAGATTTTTAAATTATGGTACTTTCTGTACCTTAACTTTTACTTTAATAAATATTTTTATCTAATTTTTTTTTCAAGCGATAAATGTGTAATTCTACTTTGTCGCACTAATGCCGCACTCTGTATTACTGGACAGAGGTGATAAAAACAAATTTTGATTTAAAATGTTACAAGATGTCAATGTTTTAATAATTTCTCCAAATAATGTTAAGTATAGACTAACATGTCAGTCACTATTGTATTTTGAAAGTTTCGAATTAACCAATACAATTTTGTGAGTCTTAATCTTTCTTGCTTTCTTTTAGTCTTTATATGTATCGTCGGGTGAGTCCTTTGTCCAAATAAAAACCTAAATAAAATAATAAAACACTGAAAAGTTGGTTTTCAAAACTTCCAAAAAATTTATTATAATATCTTATCACTACAGCTGTTTCGGCAGAGTGCCTTTCTCAAGTGATCTATTTTTGGTATGTGTATTAATGCGTAATTAGGTATTTCTTAAAAAGTTTGATAAGTTCTTGCATAGTAGTATTAGATAATAAAGAACCATCGAAAAAAAAATCGTAATTATTACACAGCAATTATTAATGAATATTACTTTTATAAAGATGTAAAAAAATATAGTTTGTTTAATAGAAAGATAAGAAAATTAGAAAGATTGGAAATTTCACAAAGATATATGATTGTTTCAAAAGTACTGCTGCAATATTTTTATTTTCAATTGTCTGCTCTATGTATGTAAACTTTTATCTACTTGGTTTTGAAACTGACTGAATTACAACTGACATCTGTATGCTTCTTAGTAGCTTCCTAATTAGCCGTGAACTAGACGTTAGTATGCGTGCCCGTTTAAAGTTATTTCCGATTATTCTTCTTCTTAAAGTGCCGTCTCCCTACGAAGGTGGTTGGCAATCATAATAGCTATTTTTATTTTAGAACTTGCTGCTCTAAACAAATGAATCGATCTGTATTAACATCAATCACGTAGATTCTTTAACCATGAGTTCTGCCTTCGGCCAACAGATCTTCCTTGAATCTTTCCCTGTATTATGAATACCATAATATCATATTTTGGACCCTCATCACGTGGCCTAGGTATTCCAGTTTTCTGGTTTGTATAGTGGTAATTACTTCTGTTTCTTCACCAACCCTATTCAGTACTTCTTTATTTGTAATTCTATCAGTCCATGATATTTTTAATACTGTGCGGTATAACCAGAGTTCGAATGCCTCGATTCTTTTTAAATTACATTTTTTTATGCCCAAGTCTCAGCTCCATATAATAATATTGAAGATATATAACAGCGAGTGGAACGTAGTCTGATCTCCAAATTTAGATTTTGCACGTGGGAGTAGCTTGATTCGTATAAATACTGACCTGGCAATCTCTATTCGCCAGTTTATGTCTACAGTATGATCATTGGGTTCATTGATCAAAGTTCCCAAATACTGATATTTTTCTACTTGCTCTATCACGTTACCATTGATTGTCAAATTGGTGATGTATATTTTGTGCTTATTGGCTATTTCTAATTGTATATCTGGACTGTATCCTGGAGAAAAAATACGGGAAAAAATAAACACTGGCGAGCTTTTACATTAAATAAATAAATGGCCTACCCATACGTGAAATTAGATATGCTGATGATACAATACTAATAGCTGAAAATATTACAGATTTACAAAGAATTTTAGATAAGGTTGTTGTAGGAAGTGAAGAATTTAAACATAAAGAAAACAAAATTCATGGTTATATCAAAGAAAAATATTAGATACATCAATCTACACATAAATAATAAGACGATAGAATGAGTTTTAGAATTATAACTATTTAGGGGCAAACAATAATGAAACAAACGATTATACCAAAGAAATTAGAGTAAGAATAGAAAAGGCTAGAAGTGCATTCAATAATATTAAACAAATATTATGTTGTAGAGACCTCAGAGTAAATCTTAGAAAACGAGTACTAGAGTGTTATGTATTTTCTGTTCTTTTCTATGGTGTGGAAACATGGAACAAAAATATAAATATAATAATATAGTCAGATAGCAAGAAATGCATTTGTAAAAATGAAAACAATTCTCTTCAACAAAGATCTTAAATTAGAACTGAGAGTAAGAGCACTGTGAGGCTACGTGTTTTCGATACTTTAATATATACTTGAAGTCTGGACATTGAAGCAAGAAGGCATAAATAAGTTACAGTCCTTTAAAATGTGGTGTTACAGGTTTATACTTGGAATAGCATGGACACAGAAGAAATCGGAAGTATTGCGAGAAATGGGCAAAGAATGCGAAATACCAAACACAATAAAAATAACAAAGTTACAATATCTGGGACATGTAATGAGGAAACAGCAATATGAACTGCTAGGGCTGATAATATAGGGAAAGATAAGAGGAGGAAGGAGTATAGGAAGAAGGAGAGTGTCATGATTGAAGAATTTAAGGGACTGGTTTAAATCCAGTTCTATAGAACTCTTTAGAGTAGAAGTAGATAAAGTAAAGATAGTGATGATGATATCCAACCTTTGATTGGGAGGAATTGGGAGGATAAAGAAGAAGGACACATGGACTTTAAATAAACAATGTCTCAATAAATTAAAAGCATTTGAAATGTGGAGTTATCGAATAATGCTAAGAATCTCCTGAACAGACAGAATAACACAAGAAGAAGTACTCAAAAGAATAAAAAACATCAGGAAGATACTGGAGTCCTTCAAAATAAGAAAACTACAATATCTGGGTCATATAACACTTGGTAACAGATATGAACTCCTAAAACTAATAATGCAGGGAAAGATTCAAGGAAAACGCAGCATAGGTAGAAGAAGAGTGTCCTCGCTGAGCAACCTCAGAGAATGGTTTGGATGCAGCTCCACTGAACTCTTTCGGGCTGTAGTGTCAAAAGTTAGAATAGCAATGATGATTGCCAACCTTCGTCACGGAGATGGCACGTAAAGAAGAAGAAGAGCTTTAACATGTCGCAAAAGACAAACGTCTAGCCTTAAGATAATACGCCAATACACTATAGGTGCACGGCAATATAGACGAAGCTTATTTCTGAGTATTGTCATCAATGTTAAGATGGAATAGTGTTCACGTATAATAGCTGTCGGATTTCCAAAATTGTTTCTGTCAACATGTAAGCGATTTTTCTATCCTAACGTATTATTTTTATAGTAATAATAATTAATCCTTTTAGTAAAATGGCATCTAAAAGACCTTTGTCTGTACTAAATGACAGAAGGAAGTTGAATTAATAATCAATTGAGAGGATAGTAACCCATCACCCTATAATAATGAAAGTGACTATAAAGATGATAATTTGGAAATCTAGGAGCCTAACTCAGATAATGTATGGACAGAAATTTAGATAAGAACGTCAGCCTAATACATTATAATTTAGCAGTGTCACAAATGTAGGATATTATATATTTTAGCGAGAATGATATTTAGATATGTAGTTTAGGTACAGCAGGGGTCACACAAAATGTTCCCTTATCGAAAATACCACAGATAAATGGAAGCGTAATTATGCGCAATACAATAAACCTAAAAGGAAAAGACTATGTGTGTATCTATTGAATATACTAATAAAGACATTACCAGACAATGTACTAAGGATGCTAAATGTAAATCTTGGATACTACATATTTCGAAAGATGAACTAATGGCATTCAACGTAGATTGGCCCTACTTTTTCTGATTAATTCTATAGATCCTGCATGTGTTACGAACGATTTAACTTTTTAGTTAATTGTTTTAGTTTCGACGATAAAGAGGAGAAAAAGAAAGATGATCCTTTAGCACATATACGTAAAACATGGAAAGAAAATATTTATTGAGACTTACAGAACGCCGTGTAAACCATCCTATTATGTTATTATAGACGAGCAACATGTTGATTTTCGTGGTAGATGTTCATTTAAAATATTTACACCCAACAAACCTTCCAAATGTGGCACAAAAATTTTTATGGTTTGGAATAAAAATGGACGAAAATAGGATGTCAACCAATAGCATTTGGTTATGTTAAACAACTAACAAAACTATTTACGACAGCAATCTTCATAAAAGAGTTATCCTCAAAACTTTTAGAAACCCAGGGAAGGTGAATTCTTCCATGGGAAATTTAGATTCCTAAAACTTCAGTGTTTTGTTTTAGTCAAGGGAAAACGTTGGTATCTTTTATGTCAAAACAGAATATATGCATTTTATTGCTATCTACACTTCATGAAGGAACGAAAGTTTGCAACGAGAATGATAAAGCGGCGATAATTTTAAACTAAAATGAAAACGTTTGATTTTGATCTTTGAACTTTGATCAGCCTTTATCACCGGCAGAGTATATGAATGATTTAGCACATAACCTTTCAAGATGTTTGGGTGAAGCACAAAATAACAAATCCAATTATATGCCGATATATTTGGCAAAGCATCTGCGAAATACTTAAAGGTAGATAAATGAATGGTTCTTGAAGAGAAAAATGTATAGTTTTTCTCTTCGGGTAAATTTCAAGTACTGCCCAAGTAAAGTAAGCAGTATGACCACAACCTATTGCATGCAGTATCGTAACGCAATATGCAGACAGCATCGTAAACTTATGATTTTCAAATTTATTTAGTCAATTAGTGTGGTTAAAGTATTCTTTAATTTGAAATAAAAATAAAAGTTTTAATAAATATTTTTATGTTTGTAAAATTTACGATGGTGTAGCAGTGACGGATATGAAATCCAATATAGTATTCTAAGGTTAAGTTAATACTTTGGCAGATCCCTTTTTATTACTACTACTACTAATATATTTTTTACCCCATCAACAAGAAATATTTGTGTGTCCCTTCTATATTAATATTACCAGCTACTTTATCTCTTCTGTAGTAATTTTTTCATTGCTTCGCCACAAACACCAGTGGAATCACTGAAATTTATTTTGCGGGATATCCGTATTCTTCAGATTTTAGGAAATTAGTTAAAATAGATCACATAAAATCAAATAAAGTTTTTGAATGCATTGGTTTACAAATTTTAATACATTACTGACAAGTAAATCTCATTTCTCCGCAAAGTAACACAAATGGGTTAAACGTGTCATAGATTACTTTATTTTTTCTTAATTTTTATTTTAAAGAAAGAGAGAAAATTGTAAACAAGTTATGCATATTTTGAATTCATTGCTTAGTATTGACTAACCATCTAAAAGCAATTACTGCTCTAATTACGATTTTTTTTTCCGCCCTATAATATAAAATAAAAAATATGTAAAGGGATGGCTAATGAATTATGATAATAAAAGTTTAGAGCTGAGAACTATATAGGAAATTATTGAAAAAATTATTACAACAAATATATACTTACTGTATCAAACAATTCTACAAACTTTGATACATAGTAGCCATACGACACATGCATTATCTAAAACAATCAAACTTTTGTTGTAATATATATTTCATAAATTCTCATAAATATTTACCTTAATGCCAGCTCCCTCTATATTATCTGGTAGCTTTAACGATTGGCATTTTAAGTCATATTTAAGGGGATACCAGCCGGCAAGTAAGAACTAGAACAAATAAAAAATGTTAACACATATAAACGAATTACATAAGTTTAATAATAAAAAATGTATGCAGATTAACCACCACCGTTTAATTATGCAAAACAAGAAAATAAAAATTAATTGGCTTTTATATGTTTCTTGCAGGTAATTGGAGATCTTAAATCACCTACTTCATGATATGTGTTAAAAATTAACCACTAAAAGTGAGATAATTCCAAAATAAAAAATGTAATGTTTGACTACGAGACTCATTTAATAAAACACAACTGGGCGATGTAAAATATTGACAACTTTCGATTGAGACTCTCATTTGTTATTGTAGAAGTAGCTTTACTGTTGTATACGAGTAGAAAGCTGCTGATTGGAGTACAGTTATATCTAAAGACGTTTGAAAATTTTCAGCTAGGCGTCCCGGTATTTTACTCACACTGAAATGACTAGGGCGCTGAAGTACCGAGCCCAATGAATTGTATTATAGATAATTGAAATAAAAGTAAAAGAGTTTTATATGTAACCAACTTAACAATAATCAAGTGCATTAAAGTAAACCAGTAATTATACTATTTACAGTTTAACTTAATGATATGGGAGCAGGAGTATACTTATTATGAACATAATTTAAAAAAAATTAAAATAAAGAGTAAAATGAAAAAATTAAGGCAAACATAGGAAAGCAGAAAAATATTTTCACTGAACATACTGAAAGCCTTTGAATTGCGGACTAACTAAAAAATGCAAAAAATAAAAAAAAAAATAAACGGGTCACAAAGAGGTGATGAAAAGAATGGTGAAATACAGGAGAAGAAGTCAAGGATGCAGATGTATTTTCTGATTGAACAATTCTTTTTCACCATGTTTGAATTTATTTCAAACTTGTTTTTCTGTTTAGACAATGGCGTCAAAAATACGAATTGCCATGATAAGTTACAACCTTTTTAGGAACAAATGTTTATTATATATTTACAACATGCATAAGAATTTACTTACCCCTACGAATAATGCAGCGCTTATCAGTACTTGTATAAAATTATGGAACAATATTACATTTTTAAGTTCGTATGGTTTTTTGTTTTTCATATAAGCTGGGAGCACTACCTAAAAAATTATTGATAACATATTATTAAGAATTATTGCATATTCGCATATTACAAGTCTTTAAAATCAGTTTTAATTTTACTACACCTTAGTGAAAATGTTAAAGATTTGAAATCCCGGTAAAAATAAAGAGCAAATTTAGAAGTTCAATATCAGTAAAACCACCTAGGAAATCTTTTACCAGTCATGTATTAACATGTAGCTACAAAAACTTTACACTCGAATTTAAAAAAATATAAAGCAATAAAATATTCACTTGTGGACAAAACTTAAATGTTTATTCCAACTTACTGAGTATATACAATAAATTTTTGTAGTCAGAAGAGGGAAAAATTAGTATTGTATTTTTATGATATTTTTTTTAAGTCATAAAGTATTAAAAAAGTGTCAAGATATTGAGTTGCAAATTAAAAATTAAAAATGTTTAGAAGTCACCTGTAACCTTAGCAACTACTGATGTAAACCTTGGGGGTTTTTTATTTTGGAATCCGTAAACTGTCCAGCGATAGCAATGCAGGTGCAATTGACATATTTAACATTCATTAAAATACAAGTTCCTGGGACGTCAGCCAATCTGATATATATAAGCTCTCCGCCAACAACCCATAGACCTTTTATTTTTTACGGGTGTACTGAGACTTCTCATATCAACCCGAAGCTGATTTACTGTGCTGTTGGCTCGCTGGTAAATTCTATGTGGAGCAGGAATAGCATCCGTGACCACTCACCTCTTTTATCATTCCCTTAACATCAGAGCTTAGTCCTTTTAATATACATTTAATAATTATCTAGAATGAGAATTATTATATATTATGACTTAACACCCCACACGGGGTTACGCCGCTTAAGCTTTCTAGATATATGTTACGAGGTAGATCAGTCTCATTTTCTTTATTTAATTTTTCCTGTTATTTTTCCCTACTGTTTCCTATGTCTGCTTTTTTCTCTCCATTGCCGTACGCCCGTCCTGTTGAGATCATATGTTACTTCTTATAGCCATGTAGATCTTGGTCTCCCACGTCTCCTTTTACCAGCTGGTGTCCATTCCAATATTGAAAATATTGTAGATGGTCCTGATCTCTATATAAGTCCTAACCATTTTGCCCTTTGCTGTTTGATTTTACATACTATATCCTCTTTAATTTCGTTTAGTAGTTCATGATTCGTGCTTTGTCTATATTGGTTTTCATTAATTTTTATTGGTCCTAATATTGCTCTTAGTATTTTCCTTGCTAGTATTCCAAGGTCTACCTCTTGTTTTTGTTTCATGCTAAGGGTTTCGGTAGCATACATCACAATCGGTCGAATTATTGTATCTTCATTTTCGATTTTTTGCTCAGTAATTTATTTTTTAGAAGTTTTTTATTTGCATGGTATGTATTATTTGCTGTAATTATCCTTTTTTTCATTTCTGTTTCTTTATTGTTTGTTAATAATATTCCCCAATACTTAAACTTTTCTACTTCTTCAAACATATATTCTCCCGTCTAGTCTTTTTGTTTTCATATTTTTTGTCAAATCTCATAATTTTTGTTTTTTCTTGATTTATATATATATATATATATATATAAATCAAGAAATTTTATATATATATATATATATATATATATATATATATATATATATATATATATTTATTTATAGAAAATCACAAAATAACAAAAAACCAATAGTGGGGATTTATGACTAAATATGGGAGAAACATTACAAGCACTTGTTTAAAGTCAAAAGAAGGAGTTACAAATGTACAAAAAAACATATGTTAAGCAAAAGAAAGTAGCAGACCCAAACAAAATCTCGAACGGGCTAATGAAACGAGACGGATAAAAACTGTAATGAAAAATATACGATCTAATAATAAGGATTTGGGATGAAGAAATATTACTCGAAGAATGAAAAACAGGGTGTATATTTCCTATTCTAGAAAAAGGCACTACACAATGCAAACAACTATAGAGGAGTAATATTGTTAAACAGCTCCTACAAAATATTAACCTCATTAATCAGACAAGACTCTTAAATTGCATTAAAACTAAAATTGAAGACTACCAACAGGGATTTAGAGAGATAAGGTAAACAATAGATGCAATACACATCATACCGTCTTACACATTCTGTTCATAAATTTCTATTAAGCATTTGACAGCGAAGAAATAAGTATTGAGGAGGAAGAGAAAAATGAAGCATTAAGGAAATTAAAAAATAGAAAATCCCCAGAAGAGGACAGAAAAGCGGAAGGAACTCTAAAAGTACGCAGGACCAGATCTGACCAAACAATTATTAAAACTAATCCAAAAAATAATTCCTCAAGAATGAAGATCAAGCATCCTAATACCTCTCTTCAAAAAGGGAGACAAATTGGACCCGGAAAATTATAGAGGAATTAATTTATTAAACAAAACGCTACAATTAACCACCAAAGTGATAACAAATAAATTGAATGAAATTGTAACACAAGCAGAAGAACAACAAAGTTTTAGGCGGTAAGATCATGCACCAACCGACGCTATATTTATAATAAGGCAAGTGCAAGCAAAATCATTAGAATGCAACAAACTGGCATACCTACGTTTCGTGTATCTTACAAAGGCATTCGACTGGATTAAGTTAAAAGACGTTATCCACTTACTGTGTGCAAGAGAGATATTCCTAGAATTAAACAAAACGATTGAAAATATCTACCAAAAACAACATAATAAAAGTTAAAGTAGAAGAAGAACTAACTAACCCCATTGAAGCTGGCATTGGGATAAGACAGGAAGATTCCTCTGCTGTTCAACCTGATTATGGATGAAATAATAAAAAAGTGAGAATTAAAAAAGGATACCAAATGGAAGAAAAACAACTTAAAATAATCTATGCAGACAACGCAATACTACTTTCTCAAAGTGATGATTTACAACGTATGCTAATATAACCTCCAGAATATTTAACATGTTAATTTCCCCAAAAAAGACAAAATGCATGTTTACAATAACAAATTCACTAAGATGTAAATTGGAGCTGAAAGGTCAGAACTTTTTCTTAAGGTACCATCTCCATTACTGAAGGTTGGCTATAACTACAGCAAACGGCTCTCTATCTTGAGCTGTTCTTAGTATCGAATGTGTACCCATATCTGTCCAGGTGTTAAGGTCAGATAATAGAATAAATTGTGGAGTTTAAATATCTAGGCACAACATTATCTAGCTACGAAAAGCTCGAAACCGAAGTGGAAGATCAATTGAATAGAGCAAACAGAGCCACAGGCTGCCTAAATGAAACAATATGGAGAAATAAAAATATCGGGAAAGAAACGAAAGGCAGAATTTACAAAACAGTCATCAGACCAATAATGACATACGCGGCAGAAACAAAACCTAACACACAGAGGACAAAAGGGATGTTAGAAACAATCAGCAGAGATAAAAACACCTCGAAAAATTGATGGTTAAACACTATGGGACAGAGCTAGAAGTACAGATATACGACATAGGTTTAAGGTGAAGAACATCAAAAACATAGGTGCAAAAAAAAAGGTAGAGAAATAGAAAAATAGAATGGAACAATCATGTAAGCCAAATGATAACAAATAGAGTAATAAAGACAACAAGAGACGGTTCCCCAATAGGAAGATGATCAGAATTAATACCACGAAAACGATGGAATGACAACTTACTGAAGGCACATTGAAAAACAAACAAAGTCATGTCTATATAAAACGAAGAAGAAGAAGAAGAAGCATTTGACAGCTTAATAAGACCCGATCTAATAGAAGACATGAAAACCTAGATATCCTAATGAAACTCATAAAGTCTACGAAATGAACAATAGAAGGATTGACGGCAGGAAGAGTAAAAGATAACAGCATCTCCAAAAATATAAAAATAGCAATTGGCAATATTCACTATGTACATAATGTCGCTATAATAAGGAACACTAAGACCTACCGAAACGAAACGTACAGTTATAACATCGATGTCCTATCTTGCGGACCTTAAGAATATTGGAGTTAGAGAATGAAAAACCATAAGCAAAAACATAAAATAATGAAGAAATATTGTTTAATAAGAAATAGGCCAAGTCGCATAACCAATTGTAAAACCAGAATGTTAATGAGGACTGAAGAGGCCGGTAACGACTCCACTAGGAGTGTAGATTCCATAATGATAATGATATTAGTTTATAACTTTCTCATCACCTCTCTCTGATTCTTGTTATTGTATAAAATAACAGACGTGTTATTCTTCTCTCTGAGTTTGGTGCCCGTAACGAATATACGGTTTTTTTGTCTCTCTTATTTTTGTTGCTGTGTAGAATAGACGATGTGTATCATCTCATTTTGATTTTGATCTAATTATTTTTTTTTATGCCAATAACGAATAAACGCTTTATTATTCTCTATAATATTGGTTCCCGCAGACAATAGACGTGTTTTCGCGCTATCTAAGTTAGATTGCAGTAACCAACAGACGCATCTCTTAGTGAAAGACTATACAAAGAAATGGTACCGTGTTTGCAGTAAAAAATAGAATGAGTGTGTTGTAGCTAAACACCGCTAATCCGCTCAAGACAATTACAACTCGTACGAGGTTTCACACTTGTGAACCCTTCTTATATGATGACTACCATGTGACCGCGAGAGAACAGTAACATTGGTAAAATTTTTAAAAGAACTTAATTTAGCTGTTGTCTGTATAATATTTAATTACCACTCCTTATTATTACCAATAAGGACGTATCGAAATTGCCAGGGCCACCTTCATAAAGATGAGAAAATTCTTCTGCAACAGAAATATAAGCATCCCTCTACGATTAAGACTGCTGAGAGGCTATGTATTTAACACGCTATTATACGGTGTAGAGGTCTGGACTCTCAAACAGAACAACATGAAAAATATTGAAAGTTTCGAGATGTGGTGCTACCGTCGAATGCTGAAGATTAGTTGGGTTAAAAGAATAACAAACTGTGAAGTAATACGAAGAATAGGAAAAGACTCAGAGATTTTGTTAACGCTAAAGCGAAGAAAACTTGAATCTTTTGGTCACCTGATGAGAGGACATAAATACGCATTACTTCAAAATATAATGCAGGGAAAAATAGAAGGAAAACGGAATCCAGGCCGTAGAAGAATGTCATGGTTGCGGAATTTGAGAGAGTGGTTTGGCTGCACCACTAATGAACTCTTTAGGACAGCCGTAAACAAGGTCAGAATAGCCTTGATGATTTCCAATCTCCGATAGGAGTGGCACAAAAAGAAGAAGAAGATTATTACCAACTTTTTTTGGTTACCAACTAATTATTTTGAACCAACCCCTTTTAACACAGTCCCTGCAACTCGTAAATTATTTTAATAATTTCGTTAATACATCTGCTTTAATTGTACATTTTTTGGTTTTGGAAACGTCTGTTAATTTTATTTTTCTACTATTACTACTATCGGTTTACAGCGTTTTTCGACGCCTTCCGACTCCTAACCGCCATTCTTCTCTATTCAACCATAGGCCTGGAAGGATTTCTCTTTCCTCTAGTTCTTTTTCAATTCCCTCTCTCCAGCTTCTTCTCGGTCTTCCTCTTTTCCTTCTCCCTTGTGGTGTCCACGTCAAAATCTGTTTTGGAATCCTGTCATCTGGCATTCTCTCTACATGGCCGTACCATATTAACTGTTTTGTTTTTATGTCATCAACTATTGTATGCTTGACTCCCATCATTTCTCGTATTCTCTCATTTGATATCCGATCTCTTCTTGATTTGCCTGCTGCTCTTCTCCAGAAGTCCATTTCTTTTGCTAGTAACAGTTTCTCTGTTCTTTGTTTCATTGACCAAACTTTACTGCCATATGTGATTACACTTTTAAGTATGGTGTTGTATATGAGTTGTTTGTTCGCTTTAGATATTGTTTGGTCCCACAGAATGCCGTTCATCATGGATTAAGCTTTTCTACCCTGTATGTTTCTGTCTTTTATAGCAGCATCGAGTGTTCCATCTTGAGTTATGGCTTCAGTTTTCTTAATGTTGACTTCGAGACCCCATTTGTTATATTCTTCTATTAGCTTCCGAGTCATGTTCAAGTCGTCATGATCCTGGGCAATCAGTATTTAATTAAAATGTGGTTTAATGCTCGAATAAATGAACTTTGAAAATAAGGCTATTATCGAGCACAAGTTAATTAAATCTGGCCCAAGTACTTTCGCTTAAAATAGCATCTTCAGGGGCATTTCGTCAAAATGTAAAACTATCCGGCAAGCGTAGAATGTGGAAACATTAATAATGACATAAAATTGTACAAAACACTACACTAAAACGAGGACAAACAGTTTAAAATTACTTAAAGATTCTACGCTACATTCTCTGTCAGTATCTGGACATACATACATACAGCGTACCTTGTATGTATAATGGTTTTCGTATGTCACTCAGTGTTGTACTGAAAGACATTGGTTTTACATAGCTAAAAGACAAGAATTGATGAAAGGAAGAAGAATTTTCTTCATATTGCTGTGAAGAGAGCGGAATTTTGAGATTGTAATAAGATAAAACTTGAATTTTTCAAAATGGATCTATATGTTGCTCATGGCAAGATGAGAATAAAAGAAGTGTAAAATCTATTAAAACTTATGGAAATCGGTAATATATTTAATGATTTAAAAAACATAAAGGGTTTAAAATTTTTTAGTTGCAATATTCTTAGTTCTGGTAATGAAAATGACTTCGTTGAGAATGCAGAGGCTATATTTTCTTATAAATCGGCCTTAATAGACTACCATGGTAAAATAAATAATCTAGCAAATTTTTTTATAGTGGTTATATCTTATAACCCATTGAACATTTAAATTAAGTTTTAGTTTTTATAGGCTTAAACTGATGATGAAACAAAGTTTCCAAAAAGATTCCAAAGCCAAAGAAAAAAGACTAAGTAAGATTTGAAAATCTAATTGCAAATGTAAACAAAACATTAAGTCAATAAGTAATTAAAAAAGTGTTGTTTTTTATTCTATTTTACTTCTTTATACTACACAAGCAACTCAAATTGTTTTTAACGTAAGATTATTATCTAACTTTATTAAGAGTTAGTTATAATTGTTTTCTATTTCTAATTTATTTACATTCATTATTAATTTTTGTTGTTGTTTAATCCACTTCTGCAATAATTATGTGATATGTTGATTTAAAATTAATTCAGGATTTTGTTTTTGTAATTTGGCAGTAATGCCAACTTGAACCTCTGACGTAGGTAACTATACAGTATGGGATTCATGCTGTACCAACTCTCTATATTATATTTAACAGTCTATATAAAAAAGCCTATATTATTTAAATACATAATACTTACTTTAATTGCATATAAATATACTGCTACTGTAACCATAGTAGGTATAGGAGATGACATTAAAAATAAATCCTTTGTTCTGTGATCTACAAACAAATTTTGTGTTTATTTAAGATAATAATATATTTTAAAATGCGTGTAAACGTGTAAGTCACTGGAAAATATTATTTTATTATCATTATAATACTACAATTAATTTTACCCAATACTTACAATTACACCGCAGTTAGTGGATCTGCGATCAAATTTGAATTATAACAACACAACAAAGTACAAAAGTTCAAAAGAAAACCAACAGACTAACTGTCGTATTTTTCTTCTGAAAAATCACTATAAAATGGCAATCATGCACAACAACCAAAAATTGCCACCCATAAGAACAATCCGATTGTTTGGTCTCTGGCCATGGCCTGTACTAGTGTCCAACACTTTCACAAATAAAACGTCAGAAAAAAATATTAAAGGCAGTAAATACCGTACTCCAAGATTTTAATTATAATATTTACTATTTCCTCTCGTTTTCTTGTGTGTCATATATTAAGCCATATAATTTTTCCTGTTTTACGTTAAATTTAAAAGCTTTTTAAAACCTTGTTGATTTTATATGACGGCATTGTAGCTTCCTTGTGTATCCTCTCATCTCTATGTTCCATACATATTATACGACGCAAATCTTCATAATTTGCCACCGAGTAAATAGAGGCAAGTAATAAATATACGTGAACGGTAGGTGAACCTTCAGAGAGAGAAAAAGGGAGAGAGAGTGAGAAATCTAAAGAGGGAAGAGATAGAAAGTGAGAAAGAGAGCGAGAAAAATAGAGAGGATGAGATAGAGATAAAAGAGAGACAAAAATACAATAATGAGCAATATATGAATAAAGAAATAAATCTTCATATGTTATTTACTGATCTCGACAAAGTCTATTATAATCTTGTAAGCATAATCTTTTTAATATTGGTCTTAAAATTTTAAGAATAACTCTGGTACCCTCTTCCTGAGGGTACACAATTCCAGAACTGTGACCAGTTCTGGAATTTTTCGTGGACTAACAAACTTTAGTATGTACACACAAATAACAAACAAGTAGCGAACGTCTTTTAGAAATGCTTACAAATATCTAAGAATAGCTGAGAATATAAAATACCATAGTAGATTGTAGATTGTAAATTGTAAATTGTAGAGAATATAGTAATACAGAACCATATTTCGTACTAAGTGACCGCCAGGTTGGTAAAACCAGTTATTCCAAGTCTTAGAGAAATACTCCCAAATATAATGTCTTAGAGAAATACTCCCAAATATGCATATTTCTCAAGGAATACAACTGGATACATGCTTGTATATGAAAATCTTCCCTGTAGCATAACTTCTATGGTAAGTTGTATGTAGGGCTTTAGGCAAAATTGAATTATCAGCCTTGCACCACTTTTCGTATAAGCTTTTCTTCATCGTTCATTACAGACTCATAAAAAACCAATCAAGTTAGTAACACTTTCATCTGAGGATTCATCATCAATTTTTTTAGTGGCACTATTTTTAAATCAACGTCATACTTAAAACGCCATACTTAATCAAAACGTCAAACTCGTTATTTTGCTTATAACTTAACAAATTGTCCATTTAGAAATTTTACACTAACAACCTTTTTTTGAAAAAAAGATACACAAAGAGATATGCTAAATTTTTTGAAATAGGGCAGCTGACTATTCACTGGCTAACGTCACTCTTTTTTACTCTAGTCGAAAGCCAAGTTCTTTTTGTTTACAACACTCTGACTCTGACTTTTCTTATTTTTCTTACAAAAGATTGGTTAATTTCAGCATCTAATGTTGTTAACTAACCTAATAGTGATTAAAAAATGAGCCATCTTGGCTCTTAAGGGACCTGGGACATTTTTTGTGTTCTAAAATTTGTTCAAATGTTCAAATATTTTTTAGTCGTTTAATTTGAACCAAATTCTACGGAGTTATTGTAAATTTTTATAAGCCTAAAAAGTGCTATTTATTATTAAACTATTTTATATACAAATTATCTGAACGAGCCTTAGAAATGCTTATTTTTCATAAAATCTTTTAAAAAATTAAATTTCCCAAAGTTATTAAATCGATCTGGCTCATCTTTTGCACACAATTTAAACACGATAAAGCCCTTAAGTTCGGGTATATTTAAGCAAATATTAGTAAATAATAAAATTGATTTGTATATACTTATAGCATATTTCATTTTCTGTATCTTTGTTTTTCTGAAAAAGTTAACTGTTGACGTCAAACCTCTAAATAGATAACTTTTTAAGTTATGATCAAAATAATGAGTTTGACATTTTGATTGTTTATTTAAAAATAGTTTTACTAATTAATTGATGAATAACAAGTTCCCAGTAGAATTCCTGCTAGAATTCCCACAAGAATTCCAAGAAAGAACCCTAGGGTCTTTTTGTAATATCTGATACTACACTTTTCAACTGTCAAACCATAAATTATCCAGTGACTACATTATTACATGCTTATACATATATATATATATATAATATATATATATATATATATATATATATATGTGTGATTTTTATATATTTAGAGCACTACGATATAAAAAAGTACATACCCTGATTCCTGTCGAACATTTCGTGGAACCCATCAAGAAGAGAAGTCGTTCGGTTTTCCATTTTGATACGTTTCTTATATGTTTATGTCAAATTAGCACCAGGATATATACTGAACCTATATACTAAATATCACTAATTGTGGCTGGTGCTACTATCAGTAATTATACCTTTTAGACTGTCGGTTTATCTATGCCTGGAAAGTAAAATAATACACCTTAACAAAAATAAGGTCAGAGATTATTTACGGTCGGAATACCTCCTCCTATACCATTTAAACGGTGGAAACTATATTGTATGTTAATGTTACTATTTTAAATAATCTCCCTTAATATTGTAAAATACACAATGTGTTCCTTGTAAAAATAATGGATGTCTTTGTTCGTAATTAAATTATTTGTCTTCTGGGCTTAATTACTTGTTTTAATTGACCATTAACGTATTTTCAATGTATGTGTCATACCATTTACTTGAGATTTAATTGAACATTAATACTAAAAGAGACCTTCAACAGACCTTTGTTTTTCCCAAATTAATTTTTTTGCAGCAATATAAGACAGAAAATGATGTTACAGTCATTCTACAAATAGCTTATAAAAGAGGAAGACCTATTCTATCAATATTATTAATAAAATTGAAGAAAAACGATTTTAAATACTGATAAACTATTTTGAAAAACATGTCGATTTTTTACTTGTAAACAATTAGAATAGATTTTTAACTGTTGCCTACACGAAAGTTGTTTTTTTTTATATTTAAAAAGGTTGCACTTTTTTACAAATTATAGACAGAATAAGTCGTCTTAGGACAATTCGGGATGAAGTTAGACCCTTTTTTAAATTGACAAGAGTTTTGCTGATAATAATAGAGTCATTTAAACGAAAAATAATAAATAAATATTAATAAATAAAAAATTAATATTAGAAGTCATAAATATTTATGCTTTACAATAAATATTACCACTTTCATTCTTAAAAAAATTTTTATACCTTTTATTCAACTTACCCATTTAAATAAAACCACAGACATGTAATATTGGCATAATTATTGTAATTTCTAACATCTAATTTGTTTATCTTTATTAGACAACACCCTAATATGGGTTTTTATCATTTCAGCATTTGTTTAACTTTGTATCGAGACCTGAAGATGCTTTGCAGGTGTTTTATACAATACGTGACACGATTTTTGCCATTTTTTATGATCCTCACGAGATCAATACAATGTATCTTTGTCATTGACTGGCCACTATAAAGTTTCGATTACTAGATCCCTACCTATAAAACCTTTAGCATGAAATTTTAGTTTTAAGTTTTGGCAACAAATATGAGAAATTTAAAATATGATTAAAATACGCTGGATTTAAACTTTCACACAACAAACAATTTAAAGCATTTAAAACTTTTTTTAAAACTTCTGCAATAAACTACACCCAAAACTGTCTTTTTAAATGTATTTCCCGTGACGTGGATCGTTTGTAATGTAAAATACTAATTTCTGCGTTTTTTATTTATATTTTAAATGCCTCATATTTATTACCACAACTCAAAATTGAAATTTCATGTCATAGGTTTTAAAGATTGATCTCTAAAAATGAAATCTTTACTACAACTGTTAAATGAAAGTGATCAATTTTATTGATCTGAGGAGAATGGTAAAAATGGCAGAATCGCGCCGCGTTAATTTATTTAATATTTTTATAAAAACTGAGGTTATTCTCAGCAAAATACAAAAACTACATACGAAAGCTGCACTCTTTTCCTTTAAAATGCATTTTATTTTTGTCGATAGGAGATTTGGATAAAAAAATATGGAATTTTTACCATCGAGCTGATACAAATTTTATTGAATGTTGATTTCGCGCCCTTACTAACATGCAAAATCGACGGCTGCTTCAAGCTTTATTTCTAAGATAACGGTTCATTTTACATAAAATAAGCTTATAATTATTTTTGTTTTTAATTATATGAGGTACAGTTTTTGTTTAAAATATTTTTTTCTACGGTATACAGATTCTTGGTAAATCGATTGTTTTGCGTTTTTATCCCCCTGCGAGAGGGTTTTAGTGGGAAGCCCAGTGGTAAAAGTGGTAAACCTTAAATTAATATGCTCTCCAAAATTCAGCTTGTTCGTATGATTTTTAGGGGTCAATTCTCTGACGACTGAAGTAAAAGCTTTGTGGACGATTTCTATGAAAGGTAATCTCTTTTAAATTTGTCACATTAAAACTTGAAATATGTTCTTTCAAGTGATGCTAATTAGCTTTTAATTGTTATAAACAAAGATACTGTCTGCAAAGATGATTTAACAAAAAGGGACTATTTTCGTCCCAAATTATCCTAAGACAACTTGTTCTTCTTTAGAATTTGTAACGAAATGCGAGTTTTCCAAATATGAAAAAAAAATATTCATCTAGGCAACAGTTAAAAAGTTATTTTAATTGTTTATAAATCGACACGTTTTTGCAAAACAATTTTGCAATATTTAAAATTGTTTTTCTTAAACGTTTTTAATAATATTGATAAAATAATTCTTTTTTTTTGTCATGAGTTATTTGCAGAATTGCTGTAACTTTATCATTTTCTGATTCGATTATAACCACCATAGGAACCAATATTCCGTTTAATATGAAAGTTAACAAAATACACATTAAAGAATTATGTTTTTAAATGGTTTTTTTTACGAATAACGCCAAGAATTTAGATTTTATCGGGAAAATTGGTAGGCTATATATCTGTGTTTGTGCCACACTTCTTAAGAAAAAAATCTTATGAGTGTTAAAATTTGGCACATAAAAAATTTTACTCGCAAGAACCTTAATGATATTGGAATCAATAGGTCAATTATTCATCCACCAAAGTTACAGGTAACTCCACATAGAGTGGACGTACAGTATTGAAACTTAGTATATAGTGCTTTTAGGATATAAATACACAATGTTTTAATTTAGGGTTCAGAACATACAGAACTTATGAAAAACACATCCCATATGGTCGAACTGCATTAGGTGAACAGAATTAAGACCAGATAAATTAGCAACCAACTCCGCCTTCGGTAAGTACTGGGTGAATTGAGTAGCTCAGTAAATGCCGATGCCGGTCCCAAGCCCGGATAAAGGAGGAGGGTTGAGGCGATGGGCTAGCAACTCGTCCCTTGTCAAAAGAAATTAATGCTAAAAATTTCGACCAAAAGCCTCGGAATACAAAGGATGGATCAACACAAAGACGACTAATGCAACGAAAAAGGAAAATGATATTGGCTACATGGAATGTACAAGGACTGAGAACCAAACAAGCAGAAGTATTCAAAGAATTAGCGGAAAGAAAAATAGATATATGTGTTCTCACAGAAACCAAGAAAAAGGAAAAGGAAATGAAGAGATAGGAGAATATATACATATCTACAGCGGAGTGAGTAAAGATAACAGAGCTAAGAGGGGAGTCTCTATTGCCATTCGAAAAAATCTTAAAAACAACATTAAATCGTGGACTGAAGTAAATGAACAACTATTAATACTGGAAATGAAAAAGAATGGGCACAATATCGTAATTGTCGGAGTATATGCCCCAAACGAAGATGCAAATCCAGAAAGTAAAGACGATTTCTACGACAATATGAATGAAATACTCTCTGAAGTTAAAGAAAACTGTGAAATCTTTATACTAGGAGATTTAAACGGCAGAGTAGGGACAGAAGAAAATAGCAGAGTCGTAGGAAGATATGGAGAACAAATAACCAATGACAACGGAATGCGTCTTAGAGATTTTTGTGAAATAATGTCTCTCAAAATTATGAATGGATTTTTTCAACATAGAGACATCCACAAATTTACATGGATACAACCTACTAGGAATCTGCGCTCGATAATCGACTTTGTAATCCAACGTCAAACTTCCCAGCTGAAAACAACTGACGTAAGGGTATACCGTGGATCAGAATGTGGATCCGACCATCATTTACTTATGGCCAATGTGATAGTTAACTATCGCAAAAACAATAACACTCAGGTACAGAATATAGAAAAGGGACAAAAAGTAACATCTCCTAAATATAACCTAGAAAGCTTAAAAGAAGATTCAACAAAATTTCTTTACAAATTACGACTGGCCACAAAATTACAAAATGTGGATCGAGAAAATATAACAGCGGAAGAATTATACCAACAACTTAAAAAGTACATTCATGAGGCTGCAAGTGAAGCTTTGGGGTATAAAGACAAACATGAAACAAAAAATCAAGAATGGTGGTCGGAGAATATGCAAACGTTAGTAAACAAGAAGAAAACTGCTTATCAGAAATGGATGTCAACGAGAAAGGAGGAAGATCACAAGGTATATACGAAATTAAATCGAGATGTAAAAAGAGAAGTAGTGAAAAGTAAAAATGAGATGTGGGATCGAAGATGTGCAGAGGTGGATAGGTATATGGGTGGAACAAGAGTTGGGCAAGCGTGGAAGGTGATAAAGTCTCTCCGGAGGGAAGGAAAGGAAAAATCTAACTTAAAATTAATAGATCTGAAACAGTGGAAACAGCATTATGAGGTCTTATTGACAGAGGATAGACGTAAATTCCAAGATATCGAAATGGAAGAAATATCTGAACATACACAAATAATTGAGATAACAACCGGAGAGTTAAGCGATGCCCTCAAAAGATCGAAAAACGGTAAAGCAGCAGGACCTGGAGACATCCCAATTGAGTTGGTAAAGTATGGACCAAAAATATTACACGAGATGATGGTTAAACTATTTAATAAATGCTTAAAAGGACAAAATATCCCTGATGATTGGAATGTTGGATACATCAGCTCAATATACAAAAAAGGGGATAAACGCAATTGCTCTAATTATAGAGGAATAACTGTTACTAGCTCAGTTGGGAGGTTGTACGGTCGAATAATAAAAAAACGAATTGAATCAGAATATGAAGACATAGAGGAACAAAATGGATTTCGGGCAGGAAGATCGTGCATTGATAATATATTCGTTCTGCAGCAGGTAATCGAAAAACGGAAGGCAAGGAATCTATCTACCCACCTATTGTTTGTAGATTTAGAGAAGGCATATGATACGGTACCTTTGAAAAAACTATTTTATACATTGACGAAAGTAGGTCTCAGTAGAGAGTATGTGGATGCTATCGCAAATATATACAAAAATGCAAGAAGTGTCGTTAAAGAAGGAAACTTTATATCTG